TTTGATTAAAGACTATGTCATAACCATTGTCACTTAATTGACTTATGGACAATAGATTATGCTTTAGTCCTTCTACAAGTAAAACATTAGTGATAGAGGGAAGGTTACCATTTCCAATAGTGCCAGATCCAATGATCTTGCCCTTCTGATTCCCTCCAAATTTCATGTCACCTCCAGATCTAAGCTCCAGACTTTGGAACATAGACCTTTCTCCCGTCATATGTCGCGAGCATCCAGAGTCCAGGTACCATGACTGGCGTCCTGACCTTGCTGCTAAGAACATCTGCAACAGGGATTATTTTACTCTTAGGTACCCAGATCTTCTTGGGTCCTTTTGGGTTAGTTACTCTGAAGGTTCGTCTAAACTTCTGTTTTTCAACATAAGGTTTATTCTGACTAGCCTTATATTTAAACACATGAATGTTCTTTTCAGAACGAGTGTGTTCAATATCATTCAAGTGACCAAATTTAAAATTGGAATATAAAGGAGTCTTCTTGATGATAATTTTATCAACAGGTTTTGGATTTAAATCAGAGGAAGATTTATATCCAATTCCTTTTCTGTTATTTCTGCTAACCCCATAGATCATAAAAGCCATTTTGCTTCTGTCTATGATTTTAGCAAGAAACTTCTTAAAGTTGTAGTCATGTTTTTCCAAAATATTTTTGCATTCAGACTCAGTTCCAGAGTCAGAGTCTTGTTGAGCTAATTCAAAATCATTTTTCATTTTTAAGTTCTTTTCATTTAGCTCAGCCACTTCTGATTTAATAATATTATTCTCAGATACAAGATTGCTTTGACGCTCCTTGTATTTGAGCTTAATATTATTATAGCTCTTCAGAACCTCTGATAACACTTTGATAAGTTCATCTTTAGTGAGTTTAGCCATTACCTCTTCAGCGTTAGAGTCAGATTCAGAGTCAGATTCAGAACCTGAAATTCCTTCCTCCTGATCTTCTATGTCTGCCATCAATGCTACATTGGCACATTCTTCTTCTGCCTCAGATTTAGATTCTGATGTATCTGAATCATCCCAGGTTGCCATTAGAACCTTCTTCTTCTTATCAAATTTTCTTTTAGACTTTTCTTTCAGAAGCTTTGGACAATCATTTTTGTAATGCCCAGGTTCTTTACATTCGTAGCAGACAACCTCCTTTTTGCCAGATCTTCTGTGTCCAGAAGATTCCTTTCTTTGATCAGGCTTCTTGAAGTTTCTAAACTTCTTTCCTTTATGCTTCCAGAGTTTGTTTATTCTTCTGGACAGCATGGATAATTCATCTTCATCTTCAGATGAGGATTCTTCAGAGCTTTCCTCTATTACCAGCAACGCTTTAGCAGATTTATTAGATTTTAAGGAAATTGACTTACCTTTCTTTTGAGGCTCATCTTCCTTAAGTTCAATTTCATGGCTCCTTAGTGAACTGATTAGTTCCTCCAAGGAAATCTGGTTCAGATCTTTAGCCATTTTCAGCGCAGTCACCATAGGTCTCCATCTGGTAGGTAAGCTTCTAATGATCTTTTTCACATGATCAGCAGTAGAGTAACCTTTATCCAGAACCTTTAGTCCAGCTGTAAGTATTTGAAATCTGGAGAACATGGCTTCAACAGATGCAGCTTCTTCCATCTTGAAAGCTTCATACTTCTGAATTAGAGCCAGAGCCTTTGTTTTCTTGACTTGAGAGTTTCCCTCATGAGTCATCTTTAAAGATTCAAAAATATCACATGCAGTTTCTCTATTTGTGATCTTCTCATACTCAGTATGAGATATTGCATTTAACAATATAGTTCTAGCCTTGTGATGATTTCTGAATTCCTTCTTTTGGACTTCAGTCATAGATTTTCTTTCTATTTTCTTGCCATTTCCATCAATGGGATGAACATATCCATCTATGACCAAATCCCATAAATCAGCATCATAACCAAGGAAAAAACTTTCAATCATGTCTTTCCAATAATCAAATTTCTCCCCATCAAACATAGGGGGTTTAGTACTGATTATGTCCCTTTCTTCATACTTGTTAGATGTTGAAACATCAGGCATTATAAACAACCAAATATAAGTATCAAAGTTTTTCTCACTGGATCTTTTATGTCACTGTGAAGTGGTAGTGCACACAGAACCGGAGCTCTGATGCCAACTGAAGGTGAGAAAATACTTAGAAGGGGGGTTGAATAAGTATGAAAATAAAACTTAGAAGTAAGAACTCAAGTATTTTTATCCTGGTTCGTTGAACTCAACTACTCCAGTCCACCCTATCTAGAGTGATTTGTCTTTCTCAAACAAGGACTTAATCCACTATTTAATCAACTGATTACAATAGTAAGCACTAAGAACAACTGTTCAAAGTCTTCTCAAGAACTACTGATCCCAACTAAATCTTCTTAAGGAACTATTACAATAAAATATAAGATTAATACAAGTGTATGAATGCTTCTAACAAGCTTTATCAAAACAATGATTTTTCACTTAATGTTAAGAACAAAAGAATAAACTCAGCAATAAGAATATTTTATGAGAGCTTGTAAGAGTTTCTATCACAGATTCGTTGGTTCTTGATTACTTTTGAAGAAGATGGTGAAGACTTGCTTTTATATGCACAGTAGTCCACAAAGTCTTGACGTTGGAGGCTGTGTACTGAAAAAGGCCTGAACCTTTTTGTCTTTACATCACATGACCTTTCCTGGAAGTAAAATGCACAGAGAAATGTTTTTGGTCTGTGTTCTAGTGTCAAGCATGAAAGAGGAAAGAGTCGTTGAGCCAAATCAAAAGATATTACTTTGAATTCTTCTTCAATAAGTATTTCTTTTCAGCAAAGTTAACCATCATATTTTGCATGATCAGAGTCTTGGATACCCATCAGATTTTGCTGAATCAGAGTAATGTAGCAAGTGTGCTTTAGCGTGTAGTTCTATCAGAGCAGAGTTTTATGAATCAGATCCTCAATACATACAGCGTGTAGTACTCTCAGAGTCTTCTGAAAAATTGTGCTTCTTAACTCTCATACAAAGTTCTTCAATGCTTCAGAGTCTTCAGATCTTATTAGAGTCTTCTGCTTCAGAGTCTTCTGCAGCTTCTGCTTCAGATTCTTCTGTAGCTTCTGCTTCAGATCCTTCTGCAGACAGCGCTCAGATTCTTCTATAAGATGATTTTGACTCTTCAGAGCCTTCCATAGTTCTATGTTCAGATTAATTTGCTCTTGGATGTATATATACTTTAATCATCTGCAGCAAATATTCATGAACCAATTTTAGAGTATATAATTCTTTAATACAAAATTTCATAAGAGTTATCATCAAAACATAGAGATATTACTAAGAAACAATCTGTGTTCTTACAACAAACTCAAGTATGCATTCCCTTTTTCAACATGATCCCTAATTAAGTGGTGTCTAACTTCAATGTGTTTAGCCTGAGAGTGAAGTATCGAGTTCATGGTGAGGTTTATGGTGCTAGTTTTATCACATGTTATCAATACATTTTCAAGATTAACACCATAATTATTGAGTTGATGGTTCATCCAAATAATTTGCATGCAACAAAATGCCCTTAACAACGTATTATGCCTCAATTGTGGATAGCATGACACTTTCTTGTTTCTTGGTATGCCAGGACACAAGCGAGTTCCCAAGTCAATGACATGTACCGCTAGTACTTTTTCTATCTAATTTGCACACAATAAAATTAGAATCGGTGTACCAAACTAAGTCGCGATCCACTCCCTTGGGGTATCATAAACCATTGTTTGTGTGCAAGTGATATATCTCAGTACGCATTTTACCGCACTGAGATGTGATTCTTTTGAAGATGCTTGAAAATGAGCACAAAGTCACACAACAAACATAATATCAGGATGAGATACGATGAGATAAAAGAGAGATTCGATCGTACCTCAGTATTTGCTTTCCTCTACTAGTTTTACATTTTCATCCTTGGACTCTGTAACACACGCGCGCACACACACGCGCGCGCGAACACACACACTCACACACTTATATTGTTCCCTTGTAGAACCATAATAAGTGTTGATTGATGATGTAAAACTTTGGATTTGTTTAACATTATTAATTATATATAATTGACATTCGTGAGACATAAGATACACTTTCTAATATCATACTTTACAACATTTATTTTGGACTTTGTAATTAACTCAAGCATTGAAGTGCTGAAGTGCTAACGTTGAAGGTCCATCCTCGCACTACCGTATTGGAGATTCATACCACCACATCATGAGTCAATCATCACTAATCAATCAGAATTATGATTCTAGTTCAGAACAACTATTCAACTGAAAAAATGAAATGGTCAAAATTGTTCTTGAACTTTATGCCCACCTTATTTGTAATTGAATACTAGCGTATAAGATTATAAAAACATGTATTGATTGTTGTATTGAATGCTCGTGTATACTAATTGCGCTTTAACAGTTTCACCAAAGCTTAGCATTCTCGTGTTGCATCAAAACATGGGTTAATAATCAATGTATATTAAAATAGCATTCAACTATGGATTTTACACGAGATATGTTTCGCCTAGGTTCAAAACTAATGAAAGAAACTTATGTACTCGCTGAATCAATGGGCAATAAAAAAGCCGTTTGGGACTACCACCAATCCCTGTTCTTCCACCATGTTTTCCACCATCAACAACCAGCGATAAAGACCACAACACGAGTATTCTTTTCTAACCTATCCTCTCCAAGATCAATCAATACACATACATGTATATTTTGTTTTGTAGAAAAGTTAACTGTACTGAGTATAAGATTAGAAATGTGTAAGAAAAACAAAGAGTTAAAATTTCTATTTCAAGGAGCATGCATTTGAATACCCAGCCCTCAAAATTACCATGTCAATGAGAATGCATTTGAATACCCAGCCCTCAGGTTCACCACACTGCACAAACTTTGAATTATATCAAACAATCAAAGTTGAGCTAATTACAGTGAGAAAATAAAGAATGAGGGAAGACGCTGTAAATGAAAAGTATTCACATGCTCTACAAAATATTAGGCAGCTGAGAATCCAATCTCTGCTGCAATTCTTTGACCTTCATAGAGAGTTCGGCCTTTTGTTCCTTGTAGCTCTGGAGCAAGTATTCCTTTCCTTCTATCGCCTCTTTCAATTCTCCCACTTGCCTTTTCAGCATCTCAATTCGCTCCTCCTCATCCCTTGTTTTTTCAGAGAGGTCCAAATGAATATCCCCATCGAGATGCCCATTTCTAGTCTCAGCAGACCAAGTTGTGCCTGTGGGAGATTTGTCATGAGGAACATATCCAACACAGTGATCTGCAATTGCTTTCCTTAGCTGTTGGATCTCTCTCTCTGAGTCAAATAGGTCCCTGTTTGCAGCTTCAACCTGCAATTGTAAATGAGAAGAAAGCCCCAGCTGAGCATTGAGTGAATTTTGCAATTCAGCCATTTGATCTTGCATCTCTAGTATCATATCATCTCTTCTCTTCAACTGTTGCCGCAGTTTCTGTACAACCTCCCGTTTGCTGAAAATATCCGAACCAGATTCTGATACACAAGGTGAATCTGAGCAGTTGGAAAGATGGAAAGGCTTTGAAGGCAACTCAAGACGATCAGGGGAGCAAGCCCAGACAACACCATTTTCCTTGCTAAACTCAGCAGGAGGGACAGTCACCAAAGGGAGGGCCCTGTTGAATTCACTCAACATCTGTTCATTTTGTGGGCACTTTAGTTCCATAGAACCTCCAGTTCCTGTCCATCATCACATACATAAATCTAAGTCAAATGCAACAGATACTTAGAAAAAAATTAACCATTCCAAACACTCATTGCCCTGCCCAGAAAAACAGCACCATAATAGAAGTATATGTCATGTAATTTATGTCAGAAAATGTGAAATCAGATCCACAAAATCACCATCAACAATGATTTCTTTAGCCATAAATATAATTTTACAGATTAATTGTGAATAACTCTAGTACAAGTAGACAAGATTTTATCAGAAGCCAATCTCGTTGAACTCATAGTCTGGTGTACCAATTAAAATGTTTTATCTCCGCAACTGCAATTATTCTACAAATACCAAGTGTCATAGACCTGCTGGGCTAAAGAGTTTGATTTAGAATTCTCATCCACTGCTACGAATGTAGAAGTGGAACTAGAGATAGATAATAGTACATAATACTTAGACAGGAAAAGATATGTTTCCTTAGCATGATAGCACATTGTTGGATTAAGGCTCAACTCAAGAAATCTTGGCAAATGTAAAGAAGAAAACAAAATTGAAGAGCAAAGTTTGTTATTAGGAAAAATATAATAAATTGAAGATGGATGGGAAGAAAAATAGGGGAATTGGTGAGCAACATGGAAAACATGTTTAAAGAAGAAATTAGACCTGGATTGCAAGTCAAGCAGGCATGATTATGTTGCATTTGGGAACATCCATTGGGCTGCATAAAGCAATCTGGAGGTTTCCTTAAGTTGGAGGATTTTCCATTACCTGAAATTAAGAATTTAATTCTTTGAGAATCCAGTATAGACAAAGGACACATCTGTGGAAGTTCAAAATAGTTGTGTACCTTCGAGGATAGTAGTTGCATTGTGGGCGATGGACTTAGAGTCAATTGCCTGCTTCAATTTGTAACCGAGGCGAATAGACAATGTACTCAAGAAAGCACCCGCAGCAATAATAAGCCAGGTAGGTCCTTCAACTCGAGTATGATTTGGCTTATGAACCCTAGACCCATTGGTTTGTGGTTTCATTTTAAGAGAGGAAGAAGAACCTACACAAATAGATTCTAATTACCAATGCAAAAACAACACCAAAAAGTATTACGAAATTCTAATTAACACCAAAAAAAGTATTATGAAATTCTAATTAACAATGAAAAAGTATGATGAAATTGTAATTAACGATGCAAAGGAAGGGAAAAATACAAGTAATAGTTAGAAAGAGAGAAATGGTAAAGTGCCTGTTGAACGGCGTTGGCCTATGAGTAAACGGTGGCGCAAGGGTGGTGGAAAGTTGTGGACGGAGACATGGAGTGGAGAAAATGAGGGAAAACGGAAAGGGTATTTTTTATGATGTGCGGGTGCGGCAAACTAACTGAGTCAAGCAACTCTGTGAGAGGGGGGTGGGGAGGCTGGGTTTCGCAAAAAGAAATATTTTACGGGTAAAATAAAGTGGAAAATTTTAACAACACTAAACCAAGTAAAGTCCATAAACAACCAAATTAACAAAATATGATTAAATATATATTCTCAAATTTCTAACCTTCCTTACGTCTCCAATAAATTGCTGGTTGTTTGTTGTGTTTGGAGGGAAAAGAATAATATTATCTTTAAAAACAGCGATTGTAACACTTATGATAGTGACGATATTGTTTGGATCATTAAATTTTATATTTAGAAATTGTCTTGTATAAGAGAAAACTCTCTATTCTAACTCTAATTTTTTTTCTTTCTACATGGATTTTTTAAGGTGTTTGAGAATTTTCCTATTTGCTTTTTAGTTATAATGGGTTAAATATCTCTAGTAATTTATTTTATATCAATTGCTTTTAGAAAGAAAAAAAAAATTATGCTTTTGGGAAACATTGTTTCACTATGTCAAACTCTTCCAAATTGAATTTGAGATACCCATCTTTATTTTAATTTAGATCTCTATAAATAGGAGCATCAAATTTGAACTACTATTTCCAAATATCCAAGAATTTCCTTTCCCATATTTAAATAAATAAGGGGCGTTTATTTCTTGGACTTTATATACTCATAACTTTCAACTCCCAAATATTTTGACTTATTTATTTTTTATTTTAAAATTTAAATTAAATATATTTGATAAATATTCTTAAGAAATTAAAATACTCACCAAAGTCAAGAATAAAAATCTCAATTATAATATTTTTATAAAACACCTGCAATAATTGTTTACTTCAATTTGAAATCGAGGTGAATAGTATTCTCAGGATTATAGGTTTAATTCTTAATAAAACGCACCCAAAGTTCTTGGGTCCATAGGAGATTCATAACTCCTTAGATTATAGAATTCAATTCAATAGTTTGTTGTATAAAATTAACTTTCTTTCTTTTTAATGATCTCTCTAACCTTATTATTCTTCTTAAAATATTTGTTTCTTTTAGATCTTTCGAAAGTTTTTTCTGTATCTTTATCATACACTAAACTACTGTCGCGGTGCGAAAAATACTTGAGCGTATCACACGTCCGATGATACAATAGAGTCACTATCGAACTTTATTTATTCCAAAAGAAAAGGGAAAATATCGATAAAACTCACAGGAAAGAGAAACAGGGTAAAAGAGTCGGCTATGCAAGGGAAATGTATTATTAGCATCCCTCACATATGTCGTACTCGACGAAAATCATTTCCCTTGTGCTTTGTATGGATGAGCGCTACTTGAAGGTTGAGAAAAACACAAGAAAGAGAGTTTGAATTGAGTTTTACAAATTTTTTAATAGACTTTGTAACACACGCACGCAGACAAGGTATGAACCACAAAAAGAAAGAACACAATTAGTTTATCCTGGTTCACTGTTAACAAAGTTAATCCAGTCCACCCGCCAAGGTAATTTTGTCTTATCACAAGGACTTAATCCACTAATCTTTGATAAGATTACAATAACCTCTAATGTTAGAACACAGATTGATGTTCAATATATCTCATTGTTTTGATGATAACATTAATGAAATTATGTATAGAGAATTTATATACACTAATTCTGTTCAAGTGTTTATTTGTTTCAGATATCAAAATTAATATCATTCTGGAAGCGAGAACGCCTCTGAACACCACAGAACGAAAAAGCTCTGAGCGTCAGAAGCAACATATCAGAAGACTCTGAACTGCTACAATGACTCTGAGCGAAGCTAAGAAGAACTTGAGCAAAGGACATACGTAAAGCTTCAGAAGATTTTGAAAGTACTCAACGCTGAAAGTACAGAAGTTTTGATAAGCAAGTATGCTCTGATAAGGATTTCACGCTTAAACCACTTTGCTGCAAACTCTGATTGAGAAACTCTGACTGAGTTAACTCTGACCTGAACAACTAAGAACATCATCAGAAGTTCTGATGCAAGACGTTCTAAAAGTTGGTGAAGAAGATGTTGTTCAAATAAAGATACGTTAGTATATTCCTTGTCTTATCCTAAACGACTTTTTCCCCATTCGTGCTTCACACAAGAATTCATACAAAAAGGATGTGTCAGAATATTCCTCTTCTGAGAAAGGAAAAATCATTAGAAGACAAAGAGAACAGAATGCACAGATTGCACAGTCTTTGAGAAAGGATTTCAAAGGACTATAAAAGCAAGTCTTAGCATCACTTCAAAGGTTAACGAACTTGAATCAAATTCTTAGCATAATATTCAACCAGCTCTCACAAATATTCTTCAAGCTAGAATAGCTTTTATTTTCGTTCTATAACTTGTGTAAAAATCACTGTTGTGATATAGCTTTTTTTAGAAGCATTTCTTAAACACAAATTTGTTAGTTTATCTTTGTAAAAGATTTCCTTAAGAAGACCAAGTTGTGGTCAGAATTTCTTGAGAAGAATAAGACAGTTGTCTTAGTGGTTTACACTGTAATCAAGTTTGATATAGTGGATTAAGTCCTTGTTGAGAAAGGCAAATCACCTTGGTAGGGTGGACTGGATTAGTTTGAGTTCAAACGAACCAGGATAAAAATATTGTGTTATTTTTCTATCTTCCAAATTGTTTTAAAACCCTTATTCGACCCCCCCCCTTCTAAGTGTTTTTCTCACCTTCAGTTGGCATCAGAGCTCCGGTTCTGTAAGTGCTCTCACTTAACAGTGACAGAAAAAGATCCTGTTGGGAAAAACTCTTAATCTCTTGTTCTTTATTCATCATGGTTGCTGAAGCTTCAACTTCAACTTCATACAACAATAAATATGATGATAGAGACAGAATCAGCATCAAACCTCCCATGTTTGATGGTGAGAAGTTTGATTACTGGAAAGATAGAATAGAAAGTTTCTTTCTAGGCTATGACGCTGACTTGTGGGATTTAGTAACTGATGGTTATATTCATCCTACTAATGATGAAGGGAAAAAGGTTGACAGAAAATCTATGTCTGATCAACAGAAGAAGGAGTTCAGAAACCATCACAAGGCAAGAACCATCCTATTAAATGCAATATCTCATACTGAGTATGAGAAAATAACAAATAGAGATACTGCATTTGATATGTTTGAATCTCTAAAAATGACGCATGAAGGAAACTCCCAAGTAAAGAAGACAAAAGCCTTGGCGCTCATTCAGAAGTACGAGGCCTTTAAGATGGAGAAATTTGAATCTGTAGAAGCTATGTTCTCGAGGTTTCTGATTATAACTGTTGGTCTGAAGGTTCTGGACAAAGGTTACTCTACTGCTGATCACGTCAAGAAGATCATCAGAAGCTTACCAACAAGGTGGAGACCGATGGTGACAGCTCTGAAGCTTGCAAAGGATCTGAATAAGATCACTCTGGAGGAATTGATCAGTTCTTTAAGGAGTCACGAGATTGAGCTAGAAGAAGACGAACCTCAGAAGAAAGGTAAGTCTGTTGCTTTAAAATCTAACAAATCTGCTAAAGCTTTGCAGGTTATTGAAGAAAGTTCTAAAGAATCTTCAGAAGAAGAAGATGAACTATCTTTGTTGTCCAAGAGGATAAACCAACCCTGGAAGCATAAGCAGAAGAAGTTCAGAAACTTCAAGAGATCTGATCAGCGTGGTGATTCTTCTGGACATAAGAAATCTGGAAAGAAAGATATAATGTGCTATGAGTGCAACGAGCCTGGCCACTATAAAAATGAATGTCCCAAACTTCTGAAGGAGAAACCCAGAAGGAAGTTTGAAAAGAAGAAGAAAGTCTTAATGGCCACGTGGGATGATTCAGATGCTTCTGAATCTTCATCAGAATCAGAAGATGAATGTGCTAATGTAGCACTAATGGCTGACGTGGAGGACCACGAAGAAACTGCTGAATCTGGATCAGAATCTGATTCTGAGGACGTATTTTCTGAACTTTCTAGAGCTGAACTTGTTGAGAGTTTATCTAAAATTCTTGAAAGCTACAGCAAAATCAAACTCAAATACAAGAAGCTTCAAAGTTGTCTTGTATCTGAAAATGATCAGCTGAGATTTGAAGTTGCTGAGCTTAAAGCAAACAATCTTAAAATAAAAAATGATTTAGAAAAGGCTCAAAAATCTGACTCAGATCCTATATCATGCTCTAAAAACATTTTAGAAGATTATGATTATAGCTTTCAGAAGTTTTTGGCCAGAGGCCTAGATAGAAGCAAGATGGCTTCAAGGATCTATAGTGTAAGCAAAAACAACAGAAAGGAAATTGGATATGAATCACCTTCTGAGAAGGATTTAAATCCAAAACTTGTTGATAAACTGATCATCAAGTATTCTCCTCTGTATACTCATTTCAAATTTGGTCATTTAAATGATATTAAGCACACGCGTTCTGATTAGAACAAACCTGTGTTTAATAAACCAAAATTCCATCAGAACAAGGATGCTCTTACGGGAAAGAAATTCAAAAAGAATTTCAAACCTACTAACCCCAGAGGACCCAAGAAAATATGGGTACCTAAGGACAAAATGATTTTTGTTGCAGACATCCTTAGCAGCAAAGTTGAAACACCAATCATGGTACTTGGACTCTGGCTACTCGCGTTACATGACGGGAAGAAAGTCTATGTTCCAAAGCCTGGAACTTAGATCTAGAGGTG